TACGAGTTGTCGGTTGAGAAACTTAAATAACATGTCAAGTTCAATCTTTTCATCAGTAACATCTGCGAGCTCTAACTCCCATTTTTCTAAGAGTTGTGGTGGTAACTTGGTTTCAAATACAGGCAACAAAATACATGCGTGTGTACTTGGTAGTTCTCCAAGAGCCTCTAGGGCTCTTGTCCTGTTCTTTAACGTGTCATGCAGCTCACGCAATGCTCGTGCCGACACCTCTGTCGTAGATTCTAAGTTAATGATTGACTTGATGAGTGATGAAATAATAATGCGTTTCCTACCGTATCTGTGCTGTAAAGCTTCTACTAGTGACTTCTCAAATCCTTCCACGGTTTGCAACGCGCTTCACTTGAGAACTGATCGTAGATAAGTGAATTTCTGAGGAATGTCTGGCAAATTGTCATTCTTGTGCACTATATACAGCTTCAAATTGATCCCAGAAGTTTTGAAACTTTAATAAATCTCCATAATTCGTTGGTAGTTCTATTTTAGGCAGTTTTAAGTTTTTTCGAGTCTCCTTAGATGATGCAATACTTTCGGCGGCGGATGATTTACAAATTCCTTTTCGATGTATTCTTGATCAAGAATATTTAGCTTTATCTATATCATTCAAAATTTCTTTACACGTATAAAGCTTAGTGTCGAAATCCTCTCTTAAATCAAGACATAACATGCAGGCGACAATCATCCAATCTTTGTGATCTCATTTGCATTTTGATCTTGTTATTTGAGCTTTGACTTAGTTCAAACACATCAATAGATAGAACTTCGACATCTCCTTTAAATATTTWCATTCTACGGAAACAAAGGAATTTGTATAATTTATCATCTATTTTATAGTATTTATATTTCACCCATTTTGTGCGAGCACTCTACTAATATATACGATATTAGTATCCAACAACTTAAGGTATATTACAAATCGTGCGCTCTCATTGGCTGCTCAGCCATGGTCTATTGCGTGATAGCCCATGGTTGTAGAAAACAAAAATTGCGAAGCGCTCGTAACTTCAATTTTTAGTTGTTTTGGCAATAAAAGATATTACTTCTTTTGACTAAAAAACGATCAATATTTGTTTTGTAGCACTCGAATGGCTTTTCAATTTTTTTACTGACAAACGKTTTGCAACGATGGTCGGCGGACGGCAATCTTGCAGTCAAACTATAAGACCTCAATTCTTAAAATTTCTACAGTTTTCCACCCTTATCTCGATAAGAAATATCGTCTATGAAATGAAGACTTCGAGGAGTTGTTACTAACGAGTTTAAATTCTGATTTTGAGACTCATTTGGACGAGCGAGTAAAGTCCGTAAAGGTTTTCAAGCATCAGKCYTACTTCATGGTAAAGAAAGAAAGCGTACTGGTGGATTATGATATTTTCAATCAAAAACTAGCTGGGAAAACTCAATACAAAAACATTTAATATACTCATTCTAAAATTTGTTCTGCTGTGGAATTCCTCAAGAAACGAGGTTCCAATGTTCAAYTACCTTCAATCTCGTTTACAAACGAAGATGAAAATTTGAAAAGCTTTTAAATGTATTATACTACTATGCAGGTATTTAATAAATAGTAATTACTCGTGACCTGGCCCTAGGCCGGGTCACGAGTCAAAACGCGCCCTAGGCCGGGTCACGAGTCATCAAATGCAGTGCGTATAATTTTGTTGTTTTTAACTCGGAGATTGCGTAAGCAATCGAAGAGTTATTGGAGGGGGACGATGTGTCACTCACTCACTTCCCTGTTTTAAAAGTTAAAACATCTAAAGATAGCCGCTGAAAAAAATCACAGGCTCTCAAAATCCGCTGAAAAAAATCGCAGGTTCACTAATAGGGACTTCAGCTACAAGCTTGTTTTATTTTTTTAAAGAAATGTTGACTTCAACTTGCCAGTGATTTGTGTACCCCTACCCGGGGTACACGAATCGCTAGAGATCTTGGTATGGGAGGCACAGATCACTAGGGATCTGGGTACGGGGATACAATTTACGCGGGGATACCGAAAGCGCTACGACACCGCAACTTGGGCTATCTGATTCTGAGTTACATAGCCTAAATTCTCAATTTGATGAGGGATTCTGTCTGTTCTGGATTAAGAAAACAATGTTAATATTCCCGTAGGAGTATTGCTAGATGATGAAGATTGAAGCGATCATGGTTTTATAGAGCGGAATAACCATTTTGTTGATATCGTTGCCACAGCGTCAACTATCACCGACACTTCGCAAACTGTCTGATTTTCACGATTTTATGGTTTAATACTTAACCTTTAAATTACTTCAATTAGAATAAGTCTATCCATATTTTTACTTTGTTTCACATAAAGACTATCAGATTGAACGATTTGAGCCACGTCTGCATTTCTTGCGTGATGTTTACCGTGTAGATTTGTCATCTAGTTCCTTCAAAAGCTGCTAAATATTGCATGAAAAGCAATCAACAAGGAGTTWCTTTCAAACCACTTCGTGATTTATTTACATGGTTGGGCGTATAGGCGATCACTGAAGTGAAAAGTTTTAAATGAGCTCAATTTGAAAAAGTACTGAATATAGCCAGCACTTTTCAATACCTTTAGGGCACGAGTACACCCTGCTGTCAGGGTCTAGTTTATAAATTGTTGA